CTCCCTCTTGGCCTTTCAGAACCAGGGCCACAGCTTCCGTTCCCAGCTTCATGACTTGGCTTGGAGTGGACATTGCAATCCTCCAAAGTCAGCCTCCCCAGCTGCTCCCTCAAGGACAGAGCCATCATCTCAAAAGGAGGGGGAAGTATGCAGGAGAGTATGTGTGGGCGTACACATATGTGATAGGGACAGATCAACAGGCACATACTTATGCATAGGGTTAAGTCCTGCCTCCCTCCCCCTACCCTTCCAATTCCCCCCACCCCCAACTCCAGGCTCCTAGGGAGAAATTACGCCACCCTTTCTGATCTCAGCCAGCATTGCTCTTGGAAATCCAAACTTCCCAAAGAAAAGGAGGGTGCAGGTTGGAGCAGGAGACCTGTTAGGGACCCTGGTATTCTAGTCCATCTGCAATGCAGGCTACATTACAGTAGGGGCTGTGCTGTGGACTTAGAAATGAACAGATCGCGTGTGATATTCTGAGCCTCATCTGCATGTAGTTCCTTTCTAGGCAAAATACACATACATCGAAGCCCCTGCTCTTTTCCCTCAGGTGCTGCCTCTATCCCTCTCCTCCCAGAGCACACCTTCACCCCTCCCCCACCACCTCCCTGGCCCATGCCTGGCTCTTCTGTCCTTCTCTGGCATAGCTCAGCATTAACCCTTTCAAGTCCTTGTGAATCCTGCAGATCGAGGGGCTACTAGTTTCCCCTGCCATCTCCTTGCTTACCTCCTTCTGGGCTCCCCACCCCCAGGAGCATAGGGAGCCTTATCAAAGGACATTATTTATATCAGACCTTTACTCAAAGCTCTCCGACAGGGAGAGGAAGAAGGGGAGAAGAAAGGAGGGATGAGAGAAACACAAGCAGGACCTAAGAGTCTTTGCTACCAAACCTGAACTGCCTCTACCCATCTCTATTCCTCTCAAGCTCCCTTACCCCCAAAGTGCCATCAAAGTAGGAGCTAATTACCAAACAGGAAACATCGATTAAATTTTTTTCTTTTTCTTTCTTTTTTGTTACATTTTGAGTTCCAAGTAGTCTCCTCCCCTCCCTCCCAATCTTACATTACAGAAGGCCAATATTTTTTTTGCATGTGTACATATATGTGTGTATGTGTATATACATGTATATGTGTGCGTATCTGTATGTATACGTATATGTATAATATACATATATATGGAACCATACAATATATATTTCCATATATCAGTTCTTTTCTCTGGAGGTAGATAGTATTATCCTTAATAAGTCCTTTGTAGTTGATTTAAATATTCGTATTACTCAGAATAACTTAATCATTCACAGTTACTCTTTGAACAGTATTGCTACTACTGTATACAACATTCACTTGATTCTGCTCATTTCACTCTTCACTATTTCATGCAAGTCTCTCCACATTTTTCTAAAATCAGCCTGTTCATCATTTCTTACAGCACAGCAATACCCAATCACAACTTATTCAGCCATTCCCCAATTAATGGGCATTCCTTCAATTTCCATTTCTTTACCCCCACAAAGAGAGCTGCTATAAATATTTTAGAACATATAGGTTCTTTTCCTTTTCCCCCAATCATCTTGGGAAAATCGCCTAATAATGGTATTGCTGGGTCAAAGGATGTCACACAATTTTATAACTCTGAGCATAAGTCCAGATTGCTTTCCAAAATGGTTAGATCAGTTCACAGTTCTACCAACAATGTATTAGTGCCCCAATTTTTCCACTTTGCTCCAACATTTGTCATTTTCCCCTTCTATTATTTTAGCTACTCTGATAAGTATGAGATATTTCTCAAAGTTGTTTTAATTTTCATTTCTCTAATCAATAACGATTTACAGTATTTTTTCATATGACCATATATAGCTTTGATTTCTTCTTCTAAAAACTGCCTGTTCATATCTTTTGACCATTTGTCAATGAGGAATAACTCATATTCTTATAAATTTCACTCAGTTGTCTATACATTTGAGATACCAGGCCTTTCTCTGAGAAACTGTCTATTAATTTCCCCCCCCCAATTTTCTGCTTTCCTTCTAATCTTAGCTACATTGGTTTTATTTGTACAAACCCTTTTTAATTTAATATAATCAAAATTATCCATTTTATATCCCATAATGCTCTCTATTTCTCATTTCTTCACAAATTCTTCTATCCATAAATCCATTTTCTTCTAATTTACTTACATATATATGTCTAGGTTAAATATCCATTTTGGCCATATCTTGGTAAATGGTGTAGGATATCGGTCTACATCTAGTTTCCGCCAGTTTGCTTTCCAGTTTTCCCAGCAATTTTTTTTTTACCAAATAATGTTTTTATCCCTAAAACTTAGATCTTTATCAAACACCAGGCTATTATAATCATTTATTACTGGGTATTTTTTTTTGGTTTGTTTTTGGTGAGACAATGGGGTGAAGTGACTTGCCCAGGGTCACACAGCTAGCAAGTATCAAGTGTCTGAGTCATATTTGAACTCAGGTCTTCCTGAATTCAGTGCCTGTGCTCTATCCATTGCACCACCTAGTTACCCCTTACTACTGTGTATTGTATTTAGTATTGTGTACTCTATTCCACTGATCCACTATTCTATTTGTTATCCAGTGCCAAATAGTTTCCATTTTTTTAAATAAAATTTTATTTTAAAAAATTACCAAGCATTTTTCCTCACCTATCCACACCACTCTCCACTGAAGGGTGGGGGGAACCCTTTCACAAATAGAACATGGATTTTTAAACATTGCCTTAGCTTTGCACTCTGAAATGAATCAATAATCCATTGGTCTATTTGGCATTTTATTTGTATGAACAACCTACACTGCCCTTCTCCCAGTGTCTACCTTCTTCCTCCCGGTTCCTGCCTCTAAGTACCCAAGAATCTTTATGCCTCTCCCTTAGTGCTTGTCTCACCAGCCCCATTCCTTTTCCTTCCGGGTGCACCCAGTTTAGTAACTAGCTGAGCTTGTAAAGGGGCCTCATTAGGCCTGTGCATAATTAAGGGGTCTGGGGAACCAGCTGCTGCCCATGCTGTGGTCTAGGGGTTATTAACCCTTTTGGTGTTGTGGCAGTCTTGTTAAGCCTATAGATCCCTTCTCAAAAAATTGTGTTTAAAAAAATCATAATTGAAGTAGGTGCTATATTTCAGTTAGATTGGTAAAATAAAGATATAAGTTGATGGACCCTCTGAAATCTATCTGTGGACCCCTTGGGCATCCTCAGACCCTAGGTTAAGAACTTCTGTTTTGGGTAGAAGTAGCTTCTCTCTATTGTCTGAGATGCCAGCTCCAAAAGAAAGGGAGCAAAAGACAAAAGGTTGGGGAGGGACTCTAATCCAGGATAATCAGGATAAGATAGATCTAAGGATAAGACAAGAGAGGCGGGCTCAGGCTCCTCTCTTGCTTTCTTTCAATCCCAGGCGAGAAAGGCAAGGTAGCTGGTTACCCCAGCTGTGTCACTCTCAAGCCTCTGGCTGAAACTTGGTGGTTACTAATATCTATCTTTTTCTATGTGTATTTATCCTTATCTCCACTCTATTTTCTGTCTGTCTGCCTCTCTGTCTCCATCTCTGTCTCTTTGTCACTCCTCTCTCTTTCTCTGTATCTGTCACTCCTCTCTGTCTCTATTTCTCCCCACCCCCATGTCTCTCTCTCTCTCTCCTCTCCTCTCCCTCTCTCTCTCTCTCTCCTGGTACTTTAAGAGGGATAAATGAAGCAGAATAAGCTCCCCCTAACAGTAGGGGTACAGAACATGGTGGTTTAAAAGGTTACAGGAGAAGATGACAGACTTCAGGGAAGCAGATTAGACAGGGGAAAAAAACCCTGAAACAAGGGAAAAAAGCAGAACAATTAAGAGATCAATCCTGAGGCATGGCGAGGGTGGTAGGGACAGACTAGGAGTCATGTTTTTTTTACTCTCTATCTCTAGTGAGACTGCAGCAGGAGGGATAGAGGTTAGACTACAGCAAGAACTTTTCTCTAGTCAGGAACACCCATGGTAAGAGACAGGAAGCCCAGGAGATCTCCCTGTCTGCAAAAGACCCTTGAGTAATGAGATGAGGCATGACAAATGGATTTCTGGATCTGGAAGCAGGCTCTGAGATGGATTAATCATAGAATCATACATTTAGAGCTGGAAGGGACATCAGAACTCCTCTAGACTAACTCCCTTATTTTACAAGTGAGGAAGCTTTAGGCCAGAGGCGTTGATTTAGATTTACACAAAAAGACTAATCTGGCTGCCTTATAGTATAAACATTTGCATGGGGAGCTATTCTGAGAGGGAGAGAGAAAACCCACCAAACCAATCCCTTTATCTGGTCCTGGAGGCTCTCCTTATCATGCCTCCTTATCTCTACAGATCCTAATCTGATCCTGGATCCCAGCTCAGAAGCTGTGGGGATATAGCAAAGGATAGGTCAGTCCCAGAGCCCTAACAGTAACAGCATCTTCAAATTGTCCCAATGAAACACGGGCTATCTGTGCAAAGGGCCAGAGTAGGCTCTGACTGTGTATTCCACAGAGATGCTTTAGGGGAACCTGAATAGGAGTTTATCAGACTGGCCAGCCGAACTAACGGATAAAGGGGCAAAGGGGGGTGGTGGTGTTGGAGGAGAACAGAGGCTGGAGAATTATGGAGAGAGGAGATCCTCTAAGGGATTCTGTGGAGATAAGGGCAAAGATGAAGGGACTGACTGCATTTGTACTTATTGACATATCATCAGTATATTCTACATCAAACCACCAACAAATAAATAAATACTTATTTTCTAAGTGCCTCGTTCAGTCACTCTTGGGAAGGTGGCATTAGCACTGGGCTGGGAGTCTGGTAGGTTTTTCTGTGTTCTCAGGGTTTCTGGCTGCAACGGTTTCCTCCCCGCCTCCCCACACCCACCCCAGCTCCCCAATCTCCCCCCTCTTCTATCCACCCCAGGATTGGTGGCTCTTGGCCCCTCCCCTTAGCCCCTCCACCCCCCCCCAGAGCCTCCCAAAGTCCTTATCAGGGAGCAGGGACTGAGTCTCTGCCAGATCCAAGATCCCCTCTCCCTTCAGCAGCAGCCACTAAAGCATCCTTGTGGAAACTGGGAAGCCGGACCCTCAGACCCACAGATCCTGAGCCTCCATATCTTACCAGGAGTCAACTCCAGGTAGGTGTGATGGGAAAAGGAGGTAAAATAGGTCAGCAGAAAAAGGGTACAGGTATAGATGTTTGTGAGAGGTGGGCATTGAAATTAAGGGACAGGTTTTAGTGATGGGGTCCCCCGAGTCAAGAGGAAGGGACTCTGGGAAATGGAAGTTGATACTAAAGGCAAGGGACTGGGCAAATGGGCAAGAGTGTGTGTGTGTGTGGGGGGGTTCTGTTGGTCAATGTCAGGAGACTAAAGGTTCACCCTCCATTTTTTCCAACTGGAAAGTTTCTCTGTCGGGGAACTATTGGCCGTTTAGGACACTTCCATGGGTGTAAGAAAGGGGCATAGATCCTTCCTTCATTTACAGCTGCCTTCTCTTCCTAGGGAAGGACTTGTTCTCAGCCCAATGGTCTGCTCCTGTCAGACCTATATTTTGGGGAGGTGAAAGATGATACCCCATGATGGGCAGGAAGTTAAAGCAAAGAGTTTCAACATCTTCACTGAAGCCACCTTCCTTCTCTCCTCTTCCCTATCATGGAGTCTTGGGCTGTAGTGAGGAGAAGACTCACACATGCTCTTTAGCACATGTCAGCTCATGACACATGAGCACCTATGTTGTTTCTGTACGTAGTGTCTATCATGAATGTGAGATGTGCTCTGGCTGGGGATCACGGAAGGGCTCTCCCCTTCCTTACCCCATGCCCAAGGCTTACCACCTTTGCTCTCTAGGCACCATGAGAAGTACACTGCTGCTCATGGCTATTCTGGTCCTGAGTGTCGGAAGGAGCTGCCAAGCTGTCTGTGAGGAATCACAGGAACAAGGGGCATTTGGTGGGGGTCACAGCAAGGTAAAACTTTACCCCCTTTTCCTCCATAGAGCCACATTTCCCTTTAGCTATAACATCCCTTCAGTTCCAGGGGCAGGAAGGGAAGGAGTGTCTGTGTGTGTGTGTGTGTGTGTGTGTGTGTGTGTGTGTGTGTGTGTGTATTGAATTGGATATATGTATAGCTTTCTTTATGTCTCTGTGTTTGTGTAGGTGTGCGTGTGCAAGAAAGTACATCTCTATCACTGTAGCTGTATCTCATTTAATAATAAGAACTTAATAGTAGCTACTCAGAAATACTTGTTGATTGATTAATATTGATTGAATGGTGCTATGGGGGGGGTAGTGAGCTAGGGGTCAGGAGAGATTCCCTACTGATTCTTTCCCATAGCTCAGTCCCTGGTCAGATGATCAAAGCCCTGGTAAAACACCAGAATCCTTGTTCCTAAAATAATCAATCATCATTTGCACGCCACTTTGTACATAAATGTCACGCTCATTTAATTATTGAAATGCAAAGAAATTCTTTAACTGTCCCTCTTCCCCTCTCTCTCCCCACCCCAGTACCCTTCCTTAGGAACCCAGCCCCTTCTCCTCTTGTCTCAGTGATCCCTCCCCAACACTCTAAGTCAGGATTTCTCAGACTAGGTTGCCCCAGCATAGAAAAACAACAGGTTGGGCTTTGATTTCCAAAGTTCCTCCTGGGAAGAGGATGGGAACTGGTTGGGGAGGGGGAGGAAGGAGAAGATGAGTCTTTTTAGAGTTTTGAAATGACAGCAATTACATCGGCACAAATGCTTTTAAGATGATTACAGGTGGGATTTATTATGAATTCTGTATGTGTGAGAAATCTAAGCTGCTTCCCTAGCCCCAGTCTGCTTAGCATCTCGTTACAGAGGGTGAGAAGACTATTCGAGCAATTTGGGAAAAGCCGCCTCCCCAGGAGCTGTGAGCTAGGCATAAAAAGAGATTGACAATTCTAGGTGCCAAATGGGCTGAGTAGCCAGAGCAGTCTGTGGCAATGGAAACAGGAGGCTGGGGTTACCTTTCCCAGATATATGAGATCATAGAGACAGCTTTAGTCTGATATGATTAGGATTTCTGCCTCTTTTCTCTTGCTATGTGACCTATGGTAGCCTGTGGGCTCTATGTTCCTCCATTTCCCTGTCATGCAACAGGATGGCAAATCTTTCGACTCTTGCTTCTACAGGGTATCTGGGGTGCATACATATATCTAAATCAATATCTCTGTGTGTGTGTGTGTGTGTGTGTGTGTGTGTGTGTGTGTGTGTGTCTGTATGCTCATGAGCACCCGAGCTCGATCTACTCGATCTAGGGAATGATTGGACTTTAGCAATTGAGGTGCTAGTGAGATAAGAGGTATAATTCTCTTCTATTTTGATGATGATTGTCTCTCTGTCAGGCACCAGCAGCTGCAACTAGCACCCTGCAGCTCCTGAAGGTACCAAAAAAAAAACTCCATCATGAGAACAATTAGGAGCCCCAATTTGGCAACCCCAAGAGTTGGCCCAGGGAAGGAGTCTTTAAGCTCAGTAACACCCATGACAAATAAAACCAGAGTTGATGAAGTGGGAATGGAATGGAAAAGAAAGAATCTGAGATAAAGATATATGGAGAGAGAGACAGAGGCAGAGAAAGCCAAAAGATGGCGACACAAAGATGGGGGAGGTAGGAAGATGGTTAAAGGAAGTAGATGTATTTATAGGTTTCTCCTTGTATATTTCGGGTGGGGGGGAGAATAGAGGGAAATCACAGAAAAGCAGGTATATTCCAGTATTTTACCTGCATTTGTACCCCACAGTGAAGCCCCATTTTCTCCCAACTCAGACACCTGGCCAACTCAGTGAGGGGAGAGCAATCTGAAAGACATCAAATCTACTGCCCTAGCCCTTTAGGCCTGTAATCTTACCTTCTCATTTGAGAGATGAAATAATTGAAGCCAAGAAGAGTTAAATCACTTACCCAAAGTTAGACAGGTGGTACATCTGGGATTCAAACAGGTCTTCTGACTGTAAATTCAATGTTCTTTCCATCTTTACTGTGAATGGGGAGAGAGGCAGGGAGCCTGTGCTACCCAAAACCCACGGGCAGTGATTGTTACCATTTACCTGACAGAAGGACCCCAGGCACTTCTCATCTAACACGTGGAGTGGTAGCATGGATAAGGAGTAAACAGAGGGCCTTAAGATGCAATTCCACTTGAAGTTTGAAAGTCCTTTGATAATAATTAATAATGATAATAATAACCAGCATTTGTATAGCACTTAAAGGTTTGCAAAGCACTTTAAATATGTTGCCTTATTTTATTCAACAGCCCTGTGGGCTAGGTGGCATTGTTATTTCCATCGTACAGGTTAAATGACTTACCCAGAGTCACACAGCCAATAAGCATCTAAGGCAGATTCAAATTCAGGTCCCTCCTGACTACAAGTCCAGTATCCCTACTTTTTATCTCTTCCATCATCAAATCCTCAAACTCACCTGGAACTTCAATGCAGCTCCTCTAGGGTCAGGGACATGGGAAGGTACCATTACTAGCTAGCTGGTCATACCCAACGTCACCAATCTGGCTTCTCTGTCCTCCCTTCTGTATCCCCAGACACAGACATGTCATCATAGACAGTGATTAGGAAAGACTGAATGGTCTTGGCCCCCAGGCTGGTTCTTTGAGTTCTTTACCCTTTTCTTTTCCCAATAATATTCAGCACCTGAAATCAAGGGAAGGAAGAATGTAAATAATAGGAAATCTGGAAATAAATGAGATAATAAATAGTCCCTGGCAAGAAAGGCTAATTGGGTTAAGGAGAGCTGGACATGAATGTGGTGGGTTCAAAATGAGATTGTGCTATCATGTAGAAAGCATGCCTAGAGATTGGGGCCAGATGGGATCTTGGGGGGTTTCTATGCTATCATCACCACCACCCTAGTTTTCTGTATCTGTCTCCACCAGAAGGTCTTGGATCTCTACCAACTCCCTCCATCCCTGCTCCGGAGGCTGTATAACAGCCGATCTCTCTCTCTGGATGGGTTGCTGAGGCTGCTGAGCAAGACTAGTATGGGTAAGACCCCAGTCCCCTGGTGCAGGGTTAAAGAGACGGTGTTGCCCGCAACCAGATTGTACACCAAATGGAGAGGCGTGAAATAACTTGAGACATGGGCCAGGCGGAGCAGAATTACTGACTCAGTTTATTCATCTGAGGGTACAGGATATATAGAGAAAATCTTGCCTAACTTCAGAGTCCTCCCTGTGAGATACTCCCCAGAACATCTGCTGAGGATGTGACAACGTGAATTTCCTCGTTATCAGGGTTCCTAGATTGGGTTGTATTTTCCAAGGTTTTCCCAGGCGCCTTGGTGCCACCTGCGTAGAGGAGTGAATGTGTAAATCTAAGGTTCAAAGAGTGAGAAGGAATATCTCAGAAACCTCCTAATCAGGAAGGGATTGGAGAGCCGTACCACTTAATCACTGAGCCCTTTCGGATAAAAGCCTGGGCAGAGGTCAAACTCTGCCTTGGATCTTAAACCCTTATCAGACTCTTAAGATCGGCCCTCAACAAGACGGCATAAGATCTTGGGGTAGGTGTAGGGGTGGGAATCTGGAGAACCACATCAGGGAAGGGGTCCATCTAAGGCACCCTCGGTGAAGTTAAGGGGATATGGAACCGAGAGGCAGCTTGGTAGGGGCACTGGCTGAGGGATCTTGCTTTGTTCAATTTGCCCTTATCACTTAGAATCATTTCCCCAGGACTCCCTCTCACAACCAGCTCATGTTTTTCCTTACATGCATTTCCTTCGTTTCATAGATCCTAAGGAGTCCATGGATTTCCAGAAACGTAAGTAGTCCTTTCCATTACTCTCTCCCCTTCCCCCACTCCTTCCCTGATGACTACCTGCTTGATGCCCCCATGTCGCTTAGGCCCTGGTGGGCTATTTGTCAAGACCCATCTCAGCTGGAACAAACCAATGGCCTAACTGAGCTAGTGGCGCTTTCTCAGCCAGTTCCCTCCTGGATTTGGGGGGTGTAGTTGGCACCATGGAAAGATTATCTATCTGCAGTTGAATGCTGCTCAGCAGGCAGCTGGACTGGCATCTGTAAAGGTTCCCAAGCCAAGTGGGCAAGGAGAGGAAGACGTATAAGGGAGGGTATTTCGTGGTTTGTCCTCCATTCTCGGAGGACCATGACATCAGGAAGATGGTGCCACGACTTGCAAGTCAATTGGATTTAAGTGAGGGAGGGCTGTGCAAAGTCACCAGCCTCACTTTCTCCTCCAGAGCCATCTGGGTCCAATGGCTAGAGATGGATCAGGACAATTAGAGATGGCTCTGGATGCAGTGGGGAGACCTTAACCTTTTTTAAGCTAAGGTTTTTCAGAGTTCTCACTTTCATTGAGTGATTAGGGCTATTTAAGAAGTGAGCCAAGGGATGGCCACTTAAATCTGCCCCCCCGAAAAAAAAAGAAAAAAAAATCGGACTGGGTGGGGAAGACCCTCAGGGTTTCTGCCCAAAAGAGAAACAATTGCAATTTACATTCACTTTGAGCCATCTGGGGCCCAAATTTCAGGAAGTAATTAAAAGAGGTAGAGGAAGAGAGATGAAGATCTGTAGAGAGTTAAGACACTGGAGCCCGCACCTCTTTGAAATAAGTGAGGAGAAATGAAGATACCGGTAGATAAGACAGAGAGTCTCAGCTGGCTCTGCTGGCAAGGAGAGGTGTTCTGAGTGCTGGGGTTTGCCTCCTGTCTTTCACTATCAGTTGGTGTTTCTATCTCTCCTTCTACAGGTGACATGCATGACTTTTTTGTGGGGCTCATGGGGAAAAGGAATATACAATCAGGTAAGTGTGAGGTGGAGTCAGGGCTTAGGGCCTAAGTGCTGAACAGGACAGAACAAAATTCAATGCCCTAAATTAAGAATCAGAGGAAAAGACTATTTTCCTTGGTGAGGGATACGATGGTCCAGGAGTGGGGAACCTGCAGCCTCGAGGCCACATATAGCCCTCTAGGTCCTCAAGTGTGGCCCTTGGATTCAGTCAAAGGGCTGCACTTGAGGACCTAGAGGGCCACATGTGGCCTTGAGGCTGTAGGCTCCCCACCCCTGCATGATCCCTCATTCACTCCCCATTCCCTCTTTCAATCAATCAACTTCAACCCCAGCCCATACTGAGGCCTCTGGAATAAAAGGAAGAAACACTGGTGAGTCATCCTGGCTGTAGTCATGGAATAAAACAAGAAGAATGGAAACTCTAGTCCTGCCTCTCCTTCTTGTCTCTCTGAAAAGAGCACCTGTTCTTCTCTCATCTTTATTTTCTAATCCTAACCTGTCAACCAATCCCCAGTTTCCATACCATAGCCAATCCATATGTGATAAGGATGGGGTAATGGAACAAGTATATGGTGGCCAGACTCTGAAAAGCCCTCTCCCAAGTTCCTTGTTTGTCCCTTCCTCAGAACCACCTATGGAGAACCAAGAAAACTTCCCTGGTTTTGGTGATCCCAAGTATCCCACCAATTCAGAGTGAGGTAAGTCCAAAAAGAACAGGAGGGAAGGCTGGGGTGAGTATGACAAATGAATCACAACGTAGACGTATGTCAATTATGCACCTCCTTCTCTTTCTTACTGTTTCTCAAGAAGCCCATCTTGATAAAAAATAATTATGTGAGCAATTGGTACCCACAAAGATGATGCAAGATAAGGTACTATCCCTAAACATACGATATTCAGAATATAGACATGAACACATGTGAACACGCACAGAGCCTATGAACTTTGGACATACCAATCAGGTTCATTCATCACATCCTGGTTGGTCTGTGCCCTGGGCAGAAGGAGGAAATAAGTAGATTTGCACTAAATGGTTTGTTCCAGAGCCCAAACTTCAATCTGGAGCATGAAGTAGGGAGCCTGGGTGGTTAGGGTTGGGTGGTATAGACAGGGACGGAGGCAAAGGCTATGATACTTTCCCCTGGGATTTCTCTATCATTGACACTTGTTTGGTTTTCCCTCTTTAAAGTCAGAACTCCTCAGGTGTCAGGGCACAAAGAGTTTATAATCCATGTAAAATAAAATAAGACTGTTATCTAAATTACAGGCAACCTCCCTAGTTTATAGGAGAAAGCATTTGCAATTCACTTTCCTCTTGTGTCCTACAGGAATCATAGGAGTTTAGATCTGAAAAGGGTCATTGAGAGGTCATCTAGTCCAGTGTCCACACTGATGCTCTACAGAGACTACATTTTCATACTACCAAATTGGGAAACATGGTCTGACAAAGAATATTCGTTTTTTTCAAAGCCTTGTTAAAAATATACTTTTGTTTCTTAAAATTCAGAATAGATGGGCTTTGTGGCTATTCTATAACAAAGAATGAATTTGTAAGCAACAGAAAGTACCACTAAATTTAATGGGACCCAGCTGAAAAGGATATCCTAGGTTGTACTGCCTAGCAGGGGTTGGGGTAGGAGGTGGAAGCATCCCTGATGATCCTATTGGCTGACTGTGAGGCTGGTGCCAGGCTGACTAAGCTGTACATGCTGGACCCCTTGGATGAATAGGCTGACAGATTTCTCACTTGGTGAGCTGGGTGTGATAGTGCCCTTGGGGATATGTCTAGTCAAAACACAAAGCTTCTCACCCCAACACCATCTTCCCCCCACACACGAGTGACTCATCTGGTCCTTTCATTTCATTAATTGCCAGAGAGAGCCAGTGTCTTAATACAGGTTTAGGAAGATTCAGAATACCAATAGTCCAAGAAAACATGTAGCATACAAGACATTGCTTAAAGCAAGCTGATTTTATCTAGGGGACATGTTTAGAATAAGCAGGGTAGACAGGGAAGTTGGAAACAAGTCAGGTCTGTTAAAGTCTGGGTAGAACTGAGTACCCTGCTGGCATCCTGGTAGAAGGAGGCCCCCCCACCTAACCAGTAAACTCTGGAGCTAGGCTAGGCATTGGAGGAGGGTCGAGGAGCCTGTACCTGGGGACTGATGCTGATCCATGCTAGTTGGGGAGGGAGGGAAGACTCCTGGGATGTTGCTATTCAAATTCCCCACCCAATGGGAGAGGGGCTTTGGGCAGATACTGTTGCTCTGAAAGAGCGACTCAGGGGTTTTAAACTTCCTAGGGCTTCTTTGTTTAGTGGGGTAGGGAGGATACTGGGGTTGTTACAGCCAGGAAGGTACAGAAGGAAATTGGGAGCAAGAAAAAAATTTGGAAATTCACAAATTACCTTTGAGAGAACCCCATCCCTAACCTCATGGGCCCTGTTACCCAAGCTAATAGACCTTAGGGTACCAGACCAGAAATCCATAGACTCACCTTTGAAGCGGTGCAGTGTATATATGATTCCCAGTAGTTAGGGGGGGCTGGGTCTGGGTCCCCATTCGGGCTGGGTGAGAGGGCACAAAGAGCCTTAATAACCGTAACTCGTTGATTACATGGTACTTACTGTATCATTTTGCTCTCATTAGATGGTTATTTCAGTCCTGCCAATGGCTGGGTAATTATACGGGCAGCTATATCGGGATGACATACTTTCCCCCGGTGTAATGCACCAGCCCATAAAGATAATTACAGTGCAATTTTACCATAGTATTTTATACAAATGGCAGAAATAAGAGCATTGTGGAAAACTACTTTTAATACATTCGGATGAATCCAGGCTCTTTTCAGAAGATCTAGGAACATAATTATGTCCCCTCCTCATTACCATCACCACGCCATCATTGGGTGAACGGATCATTCACAACCTGTGAAGTGTCAGGCAGAATAGGTCAAGAGGTTTGTAGAGGGGAGGGTGGGGAGGTGCAAGGAGAAGATGGAGGTACCATTGAAAGAGATGATTTGAAGTGAATCAATATATTGTTTTCTTTTAATGGAGGGGGAGGAGTCTAGGGCAGTAGTTCTCAAGCTTTCTTATCCTCTGGACCACTTAATACTCTCAAAAATTATTGAGTCTGGGTGGAACTGGGTGGAACGCCACTCAAACAGCTTTTGGTTTATTTGGCATATCTACTGACATTTATTGTATTAGAAATTAAAACATCTTACTATTATTATGTAAATAGTTTTGACCTCGTAGATCCTGGTCCATACTTTGTGAACATCTGGTCTAAGGGAAGGTTGCCCTCTTATTTCCTTCATTTAATACTGTGATCATTCAAGGTTCTTTATTACTAAAGACTCCCAGGAGGAAGTAATAGGGATTGATTGGGTACAGGATCCAGAAACACTCACACAAGTGCCCTGGGTAGGGATATGTGATGGAGCCCCTTTGGTGTATGGACAAGTAGCTTATGGAGATGCCAGCAGAGTCTATCTTAGGCAGTGTGTATAGATGCACAAATATAACCTATATCAGATTGCTTACCATCTCAGGGAGGGGTTAGAAGAGGAAGTGAGGGGATAGGATTTCTAATTTGAAACTTTAAAAATATGTTAAAAATTATTTTTCATGTCATTGTGGAAGAACAAAATTATGTGTGTGTGTGTGTGTGTGTGTGTGTGTGTGTGTGTGTATAGGTGGCTATGAGCAATGAAGCCACCAGTTAAATGTGATGCCCTGGAAAATAAAGGAATTGTGTCGGCAGGGGAAATCTAGCTTCTTATTAGCCCTTCTTACAGCCTACAGAAAAAGCAAAGTGTTAAGACTTCTGCTTTCTCTCCTTTTCCCAGCAGATTTCTCCAAACTGGCTATTGGAGTGGAAGCCAAGAGTCTTGCAACAGACAAAGAAAATGTGCTTCCCCCCCCTTTTTTTTTGCCAGAGTTTCCCACACTGTCCAACTCCTGGGACTCTGGACTGCATTTTGAAGACATTTTGCCTGCCTCCTCCCAATCCCTGGATAAAATACCCTCAATTCTATTTCCTCACCCATTGCTGTATCACTCTCCTGCTTTGATTACTCCATCCCCACACCCACCATACAAACCACATAGAGAGTAACATCAATCCCATGGGCACTGACTACAGATGCCAAGCAATTTTATTTAGTGAGAAATTCATAATATAATCTCTAGACTCACCATCAATAAAGTGGTTTTTACACATGACTTATAGTGGTGTTTTTCTTGGTTTGGTTTGGTTTTTCATCAACTCCTAGTTTGTCTCTAACCTTCTAGAGAGGAGGGATGATTTCTTATACAGCTTTCTAGACACCCACCTACCCCGCTTACCCCAGGCACCTCACTTGGGCTCTCCCCAAGGTAATTGGTGCTCAGTAAACATATGTTGAATTAGTACACATTAAGGTATGGATTTGGAAGGTAGTGCCTGAAGCCCAAAGCCTTTCAGAGGCCTACCCCAGACAAAGACATATGGAGATTCTGAATACCTTATCTGAGATTCTAGGAGGAGATGGACATAGCTATAGAGGGGGGAAAACAGTTTGAGATTCTGATTCCCCAAGGGCTAGCTAGGTGGCTCAGTGGATAGAGCACCAGCTCTGGAGTCAGGAAGACCAGAGTTCAAATCCAGCCTTAGATACTTGATGCTTAATAGCTGTGTGACCCTGAGCAAGTCACTTAACCCTGATTGCCTAACAAAAAAGGAGAGAGAGAGAGATTCTGATTCCCCTTCTCTAAACTCCTACTTTAAGGAGGCAGGTGTTAAGACTGAGCAGAGGTATATCTATGGAGAAAGGACCACTTCTTAGGTGCAGCTGTGTCAAACACTCTAGCATCCCAGTGATGCTGGAAAAGAGGAATATAGACTGCCCCCTCTACCTCTCCATCTTAATCCAAAAACTTGGGTGAGGAGGGGGTTGACTCAGAGGTTTAAAAAGATGTCAGAATCCTTAAGGATGTGCTCGGTTACCATCCCCTACAGCTCTGGTCTAACAGTTTCCATTATGTAAACTGAGCTTCAGTTTAGGGGCAGGGGGCTGAGGAAGAGGGAGGGTGTCTATTATTAATTCAATGTGTCATAAATCTCAGTCCACTAATCCCGAGGGGAATTTCATACCCCAATGACGGGCTGCAGAATTCCCAGTGCTGCCTACCAGCAACCTAAACCCTGCCACTTGGGATGAGAGCTTCCCTTAGACCCCAAGATGAGGCAGTTTCTCCTAGACCAGGTGCCCAATATCCTCCTCCCTAAGGTGAGGCAAAAGCAGGAGTCACAAATGGAAGAGAAACATTTTTTTTTATGAACAAATCACTTTCTTTTCTGGATCCTTGGCTCTTAGGTCAAAGTCTTAGATCCAAAAGGTGGAGCCATCCCCAGTTCTGACCTACGTCTTGCCACTGGACTCAGAAGATTCTGGAGGAGAGAGGAGGGCTGATGACTTTGCACAGTTCTGCCTCACTTAAATCTAATTCATGTGCAAGGCAAGACATCACCTTCACGATGTCATTGGTCTCTTCAAGAACTGAGGATGAACAACAACAAAATACATAAGGCACCCTTAAAAAGATGTGCTCGGAGCCGGGTAAACCTTAAACTCCCCATCATCCACAGGGACAGGCTGGGAGGGACTTGGTTTGCTCCAGCCCTCTCTGGCCTGTTTCTTATCTAATTAGTGAACCATCCCCAGCAGGCTACACCTACTAGCTATGTGACCCTGGGCAAGTCACTTAATCTGATTGCCTCAAAAAAATTATATATTCACTTTAACCGAAGAGTAATAATAAAGTTCTGTGAAAGAAAGAAAGAAAGAAAGAAAGAAAGAAAGAAAGAAAGAAAGAAAGGAAGGAAGAAAGAAAGAAAGGTTCAAGACTGAGAAAGATTCAAGATAGGGGTTAAGTGAACCAATAAGCCTATACCTTCATATAAGTTGATTATCTAAGTTTTGCATCTTCTTTTTCTCTCTAGTATCTTTGCCTTTGATTGCCTAGGTTTTTTTTTCTTTTTTAAACCCTCTCCCATCTCAGTCAATTTAAGGAAAGGTATAGTTATTTTGTTCTTCACTCCCTCCAACCTCCCTAACTCATCAAAGAAGGCAGATAAAAAAAATTTTTTTAAACACCTTTGTCACAAATATGAAGAGTAAAGCAAAATAAATTCTCATTTCAGCTGTATCCCAAAATGTGTCATTCTTCAGACTTAATCTGTCATCTCTCTCTCAGGAGGTGGGTAGCATGCTTCATCATCAGTCCTGGGGGGAGGTGAGCCTGGGATATGAGGCAGCTAGATGGTACAATGGTTAGAACCCTGGGCCTCAAAGGCCCAGGAAGATGTGAGTTCAAATCTAACCTCAGATACTAGGTGAGTGACATTAGGCACTTAGCCTCTGTTTATCCACTGTAAAATGGGATAATAATAGCACCTACCTTCCAGGGTTATTGTGAGAATCACCTGAGATAGTACTTGAAAAAGTGCCTGGCACATAGTAACAGCTATATAAATGTGAACTATTATTATCTCACTGGATCTGTAGTGGTAGCCTTACTAAGTGTTTCTTCTTATCTCAGTCTTCTAGAAGTTATATATGCATTACCCCAGGTATTCTAAACAGTCATATAATAAAATTATAGCAGGGCAGCTAGGCGGCGCAGGGGATAGAGCACCAGCCCTGAAGTCAGGAGGACCTGAGTTCAAATGTGGCCTCAGACCAAACACTTGACACTTACTAGCTGTGTGACCCTGGGGCAAGTCACTTAACCCCAACTGCCTAGAAATAAAAAAAAAAAAAAATAAAATTATAGGGTCAGAAGGAGGCTTAGAGGTCACCTGGTCCAGGTGAATTCTCCTTAGATGTTGACAAGTGGCCATCCAGCCTGTTTGAACATCTGTTGTTCATTTTTCGTTTCAAAGAGGACTAATGACATCACTGGTGATGTCTTGACTTGCTTGTGAATTGGATTTCAGTGAGGCAGAGCTGCACAGAGCCATCAGACTCACTCTCTCTTCCAGAGTCATTGAAGTCCAGTGGCAAGACATAAATCAGGATGACTGGAGATGGCCCCGGGATGCAGTGGATGACCTTGATATCTTTGATGCCTAATCAAGCTCTAAGCAGTCCAAAATTGCTTCAGCCGCCTTCATGGCCATTGGAACAAATTGTTCTCATCTGCCCATTGCACTGGGGCAAGTCTTCGAATGCTTGGGGTAGACACCCACTTAACTCACTGATGGGTTTGAGGCCTGTTGGGTTATCCTCAACTGGTTTGGACCATCTGCCAAGATGGTTTTGTTAGATGGCAGCTGCCCATGCTACAGCTTCTTGGAGCCACAGGTGACAATTGGGTGACAGGTAGACACCAAAGGTGGATGAGTAACCCTGCAAAGGGCTCAGCAAACCCTCATGCCAGAGATGCTAGTCTTCCCTGAATACCCCATACAGCCTGTTTGAACATCTAGCAGGGATCTCATTTTTTTGCAGTCTATTTTCTTGCAGATAATTGTCATTGTCAGGAAGTTCTTTCTTCCAAAATATGACTCCCTATAATTTCATTTCAAGTCAAAAAGCATGTATTAACCACTTACTATGTGTAGAACATTGGTCTAGGTGAGACACTTGGTTCCTATCTGCATAGAGCTTACAGTCTAGCAATCTAATTCCATCCTTGATCCCAATTCTGCCCTCTGAAACAGGACAAACAATCTCCACTGATACATACTTTGACAACTTAACAAAGACTCAGTGGCACTAGTGAAAACATCTCTCCTTCAAATCACTGATTCTAATTATGTTCCTGTCAGGGAATACCGCTTCCCTCAGATGCTTTCTTTAGCACTAATCACCTCATTAAACTTTTCATAGCATTTCAGAAGGTGTGAGTTTCTTCATGGGGTGGAAAAATGAGGGAGCTGCATTGTTTTTGCTCAGCTAAGGGAACATTTCTTGGGCCATAAAATTTCCAAGAAAAATAGACCTTTGGGCATTAGGGGAATGACATAAATGCAGAAAGATTGCTCTCTGGTGGGCCTAATAAAAATTGCAATGTTGGGAATTCCAGAAGCAATGAAGGCAACCAAATTCAACACTAGTGCAGTTGTGTTTTTTAAGTCTGAGAAATAGGATGGGATTTCCAATCAGAGCCATAACTAGGATTTTTTTTTTCAGTTAGGCTAACCACTACAAATTATACCTGGTGTAAAAAGAATGTAAAGTGGCTGTCAGTTAAGCGTGGGAGAGATGGGGGAGGAGACAGAATGCCACCAGCCTGTTGGAGACTGGCACCAGGATTGAGGTTTAACCAGCCTCAGGGGTAGAGTAGGGGAGCATGATAAGGGAGGAAGGAACTTACCCTACAACTCATCGAATAGCTTCTTATTTTAACAAATTATGCTTGATAACTAAATGCTAACTAGATGCTCTTTCTATTTTGCTAAAGTACTGCAAGGGTTGCTGGTGCCTGCCTCTAAATTTGGGTCTTGGGACAAAGCTCCCATCACCCCCCTCTAATATTGCTATATTCCCAGTCACCTTTTTCCTTCTGCAAATGTTCGGTAGTTGAGGAAATCAAGTCAGGTCTGATCTCAGAAATTAGTAGGTTCTGGGTTTGATTGTCAATGTTTTCTCTCCTTGGAGAACAACTTGGAATTTATTTGTTCCTTTTTAAAGTATTTATTTGACCACCCTATGTGCATTGCCTTGTGTCATGTATTGGCACAATGGGAGTTCTGCAGTTAGCCGTGGTCTTCAAATTGAACAGTAAATTTTAAAATATGTATGCAGGTTTTTTAGCCTCCTTGGCACTGGTGGACATACAAAGGTTAACTAAGATACGGTCCCTTATGAAGCTTATGGTCAAATTGCAGAGTGGGCATGTGGGGTAGAGAGTGAAGTGGAAGAAGTCTTAGGGCTTGTTCTATAGGAGGACAGTCAGAGGACCACATCCATAGCAGGCAGTAAGGTCAGGGACAGAAGTATTTCATATCTTTTCATCTTTTATTTTCCCCTTCTTTCCCAGGTGTGGGAAAGCATAGAGATGGGGAAGGACAGGGAAGGATATTTAAAAAGAGGAATGGGGGGGATTGGAAGAAAGAAGAGAAGGGTATAAGGGGTATGAGAAGAGTAGCTAAAAGATTCATTATTTCACGTAAAATCAATTCTCTTCCTGTGATCATATGGAAATGCTGACAGTTTTGGGGGTGGGTGTTTGTTTGTTTATTAAATTCAAAATTAATTGAATGAGTGAATAACAGTGGGAGAAAAGAAGCAGAGAATAATGAAGGCAAGGTAAATGTGCAAAGTTGGGAGGAGCACGAATGAAGTCTATATTTGTCCTTCCTTTTTCCAAAGAGGACCAATGACATCACAGAGTGATGACTTGGTTAGGAATTGGATTTAAGTGGGGCAGAATTGCACAAAGTCATCTGTCATCCTGAGTCATCGAAGTCCGGTGGCAGATGTAGTGGATGACCTTGGCATCCTCGATGTCTGACCAAGGTCTAAGTGCTCCACAGCACCTGTTTCAGCTAACTTCATGACCCTGGGAACAAATTGTTCTCATCCTCCCATTCTGCCAGGGGAATGTTCACATGCTTGGGGTAAATATTCCCCTAACTCACCAATGGGTTTGAGGCCTGTCATTACTCTTGACCTGGTTTAGCCTGTCTGCCAAGATAGTTTTAACAGGATGCCGCAGCTGCACAAGCTACACCTTCTTGGAGTCACAGGTTGAGAGGTGCGTGAAGGTGGACACCAAAGGTGGATGAGAAGCCCTGTCTTTACAGGCAAGCCTTCATACGAGAGGTGCTAGTCCTCCCTGACACCCCACAGACCCCACAAATGACGAGATCAGTAAAGGCAGGGGGAGGTAACTTGATGGATAAGTGATTTTACCAGCATAGGCACTCCTTTGGTGGATGCCTGTGCAATGCCTTTTCACTGTGGTTATCCATAGAGCTCCCATAGGGCATTGGGGTTGCCTGGAGATCTCCCTCTAGCCCTTTTAATATCTAAAGAAATCTCAACAAGATTTTCATCTGCTGTCACTCACTCTTGACACTCTTGACCAGCCCAATCACTCATTTGATCAACAAGTATTTATTAGGCTCCTACTGTGTGTCAGGTACTGTGCTAAGTGTGGAGGATGCAATTCTTATTATTATTATTATTATTATTATTATATTATTATTATTTGGCTAGGCGATGGGGTTAAGTGACTTGCCCAGGGTCACACAGCTAGTAAGTGTTATGTGTCTGAGGCTGGATTTGAACTCAGATCCTCCTGAATCCAGGGCTGGTGCTCTATCCACTGCACCACCTAGCTGCCCCTGGAGGATGCAATTCTTGAGGATTTTAAAAAAATGATTCTTAAGGATGATTTGTAATGCTTCTCATATGCAAGTCATTTCCATAATATGTCACAAGTTACACCCACCATAAATTTTTCTATTGTCCTTTGGATTACTTGTAATTTAAATTCTTCTGAGACCATGATGTTCCACGATTCACAGACATTTAGAATTACAGACAGAATACTAGATTTTGGTTTGAATCTCAGCCACGCTACCTCCTACCTCTGTTGCCTTGGGCAAATCATTTAAGCTTTCTGGTTCTGTTTCCTCAATTGTAAAATAACTGATAGCTTCTAACGTCCCTTCCATCTCTATGATCCTTTGAAGTTGGGGCTTTTGTGGCAATGAGCAGCTTGGCATCACCGAAATCACTGAGCCATTTCCCCTGTGCAATCCAGTCTGCTCTCCTCAATTCTGGGCCTAACTCATCATGCCCTTGAAAAGAAAGATACACTGACAGACTAACCCTGAGAGCTACTTGTCTAACTGCATGCCATAGTCTCAGCACTATGTGCTTTTCATACATTTTAAAATTTCAGTGCAGATGGTGAAGCCAATCTTTTTCACATTGGTATGGATTTTACCTGAAACCAAATACAGTTATAAAAATGCCATCTGTCAGTGGGAACATTTAAGGAACCTTGCTATCAATAAGGAATTTTTTTTTTAACTCTGAATGAGGCAACTTCTATGACATTGACAGAAAGTCTAGATAGCACTTTCCCCAATTTTATACATGGCTTGACGTCAATATGTGTTGGTTCCTAGACATGAATTATTTTTATAATCATATGCACAGTTTAGAGAATCATAGATGTAGGGCTGGGAGGGACTTCAGTGATCATTTATTCCAATCTCTTTATTTTATAGCTGATGAAACTGAGGCTTGGGCAGGTTAATGGATCTGAGCATCTCTATATTTGCACAGTGCAGAGTATATATATTCATGATGATATCTTTTAGGACACTTCTAATGTGAAGTCATTCATTAATTCACCAACATCTATTAAGCACCTACAGTGCTTATGTGCCAGGTACTGTACTAGGTTCTGGAACTACAAAGACAAGAACCAAAACAGTCCACGCCTTCTAGGAGCTTAGATTTTGATAGCAGTCATCTTTGCTTAGAATATAATTAAAATAAAACTATCATTTTAACTTTTAAATGCAGTGGAGTTTTTTTTTCTACTGCATCAAATGCTGCTTTAAAATCGATCAACACAAAAAACTTTGAAAGACTTAGGATCAATGTAATAACTAACCACAATTTCAGAGGACCCAAGATAAAGCAACATCTACCTCTAAAGAGACTCAGAGTGCAGATTGAATCATATATAGATATAGATGTCTACACATACATATATACATATTACATATATGGGTGCGTATCTACATCTAGATACACGCATATATGATGAGGCCAATGGGACAATTTTTTTGCTTGACCATATACATGTTTGTAACGGTTTGGTTTGGTTTTGTTTTTGCTTTCTCAGTGAGAGGTAGAGGAGTTGGGAAGGGGGAAAATTCGGGCCAGAAAGTAAATTAAAATTGGATTAAATAAAAATAAAATAAAATTAGTCAGCAGTGCAGGGTTGGCTCTTAAATTTTCTCCACGTCTCAATCAAACTTTAAGAGGTGGTTTGCTGTGGAAAATGCTGCTTGAGCCATCCCTATATTTTCATCAAGGATACCTTCAACGCACGCATCGACCATTCTCATAATGATTTTATAGCATCAAGAAAGCATGCAAAATACAGAGGTAATGCTTTTTAAGAGGGTCTGTTCAGCATAGCACAGAGAGCCCGAGGGTGTTTCAGTCAGCACATGCGCGAGAGCAGACGATGCGAGCGCCAGAAAAGGCCTTCGCCTCAGGCAGGGCCTGGAGGGCGGGAGTAGCGGAGGCGCTCAGTCTTTGGGCTTCCGGGGAGGGGCGCGGTGGAGGGGGTGGGAGGTGTTGGAGCATCTCTCTCCCCCTCCCTCTACGCCTCGGGCCAGGCCTTCGGGGTGGAGGCGGGCGCTCCCTCCTCCCGTACAGCTGGGGGCGCTGCTGGCCGGGCGGCGGGCGACTGCTGCTGCTGCTGCTGTGGTCGCCGCGGCCGCGGGGACTGAGCAGTGGGGGGGCGCTGCCTCCTCCGGAGCGACGGGGGGCGCTGCGGGCCGGGCGGCGGGGGTGGCCCGGGCCGGCACCGAGCTCGGCGAGGCGGATGGAGAGTCTGGCCGAGGCCGGCGGTGCCGCCTCCTCGTCGGGCTGGGGACGGCGGGCCGAGGCCTTTGTGTGAGGAGGAGGCGGCGGCGGCGGCGCGGCGACGGAGGCGGCGATGGTGCCCTGGACCCCGCGGAGCCGGGTAAGCGAGTCCGGGCCAAGGCCCAACCCCCGCCCCCGGCCCCGCCGGGGCCTCCTTCCCCCCCGCCTCCCGCTGAGCCCCCCATCCGTGGCCACCTCCCCGGGTCCAGAGAACGTCGCCCCCCGACTCCCTTCTCAGCCGGGACCCTGCCCCCGCCCCCCCCCCGCCCCTCCTGCTGCTTTGTGGCTCCGCTGGAAGCTCAGACCAGTTTGCAAACCACGGTTCATTTCATGAGTGTCCTTTAGAGGAGGTGGTCCCCCCACCCCCCCATCGCCGTCTCCCTCCTCCTCCCCCAGGGATGCACGGGGCTTCCAAGGAGGATGCTTGGCCGTCCCAAGGAGGATGCTTGGTCAAACGGCCGCGGCACAATGCTTGGGCCCAGAAAAAGTTGGGAGCCCCCCCCCAGCAGGGGGCACGGGAAATATTCGGGGGGAGCGGTCCCCTGGGAGAGGTTAGGCTGCTCTGGGAGTCAATGGCAAAGTGAGCTTCAGCGTGAACAAATAATAACGAGCGCATCCTTCAGGGCCAGGCAGGATTCATCGAGGAGAAAAGGAGGGATATTGCAAAAGTTTTTTCAAGACTGTCTGTTCTGTTAGACTGAGATCCGTATTGTGTTAGGACAGCTCAGAAACCAGCTTAAGGCTGCCCCAAGAATAAGGCTGTGAAAAGGGAAAGAGGTATCTATTTTATACTAAACCGAGGAGGTGATACTGAAATCATGTTAAACACCCAACTCCATTCTGCTTTTTGTTTGTTTTTTACCTAATATTGGATCTTTAAATGTTTTAACAACATCGACAGGAGGCGAGGAGTGTAGTGTCCAGACGATGGAGGTAAACAGAAGTTTAAATAGATGTTAGAAGCTTAGAACAGTGGGGGGGGGGAACAGTGGGGAGAGTGAAAGGAATTCAGGAAATAGTAGGAGTTGATAATAGGGACTGAAGGGACAGAGCTATGAGACAAATCCGAAAGAAGGAAATACGTGTAGTTTTCCTTGTAATAACTAATTGTGCTGAAGTATGAAGGTAGTAGGTAATATTAGGGGGAAAAATAGTTTAGCGAAACAAAAGAACCTATTTAGGAGAATATGAGATGAAATAATAAGGAAAATTTGATTAACCTGGGAGTGAAACTAAATACTGTATTAGAAGGAATATTCTTGACTGATTTTTTTTTTTGGGTGAGGCAGTTGGGGTTAAGTGACTTGCCCAGAGTCACACAGCTAGTAATTATCAAGTGATCAAATGCCTGAGGCCGGATTTGAATTCAGGTCCTCCTGACTCCAGAGCCAGTGCTCTATCCACTGTGCCACCTAGCTGCCCCTTGACTGAGTCTTATGGGATAGTTACAAGAGAACTTTTTGCCTTAGCCTTTGCTTGACCAGCCCTAAGCTCTGCCTTAACAATTCTGTAAGGTATCCTTGCTATATATTTGCCAACAACTGTTGGATTTTGTCATGGTAAGTGGCAACGCAGCAGTCGTTTGTCACTTCTACCAACTTTTTCTCCACAACATACTGCAGTCCCTTCACCCTGCCAACACTACACACACATACACACACACACACACACACACACACACACACACACACACACATGCACACATTCACGCACACGCACACACACTGAGGCTTTGAAGTGATGAGATTGATTTGTGGTGTTTTCTTCTCCAGAGCCCATTGCCCTGCAGCCGTTTGGAACTCTGTCTTCTCATGCTGTCCACAGATTAATGGTGCTGATAAGATAGAAACTCCATAGGATCTGCTAAAATGGGCATGAGGATCAAACTCCACAGCACCAATCACCCCAACAACCTACTGAAGGAGCTCAACAAATGCAGGCTGTCGGAAACCATGTGTGATGTCACCATCGTGGTCGGAAGCCGCTCGTTCCCAGCCCACAAGGCTGTGCTTGCTTGTGCAGCGGGTTACTTCCAGAACCTTTTCCTGAATGCAGGACTAGATGCTGCCAGAACCTATGTAGTGGACTTTATCACCCCAGCCAACTTTGAGAAAATCTTGAGCTTTGTCTACACGTCGGAACTCTTCACTGACTTGATCAATGTGGGGGTCATCTATGAGGTAGCCGAGCGCTTGGGCATGGAAGATCTCCTCAAGGCTTGCCACTCCACCTTCCCTGACCTGGAGAGCACAGTTGTGACCAAGCCCACAACCAGCTCCAGTGAAGGCCGTTCTAGCACACAGAGCAGCACTTCAGCCGAACCGGCTCATTCCCTTGGAGAGCTCCGAAGCGTCGGAGACCAGTTTGGTCCTGAGAGGAACTACATCTTGCACAGTGATGTTGGGATAAGCTATAAAGAGGAGAGAAATCCTTCCAGTGACAGCAACCACAGCTTGCCTCTGTTACACCAGCCGCTGCCATCTAAGACAGAAGAGCACGATGCTCCTGTCCCATTCGCTTCAGTTACAAGCATGGTAGCGCAGCCAGGCGTTGGTACCCTCAGTATAGGCGCGCCAGCTAATTCAAGCTCCTTCCAGCCTTTCAAGGTTCAGAGCAATGGGGACTTTAGCAAAAATAGCTACTTTACCCCTGATAACCCATTGGATATCTCCACAGGGAGTAACTCCTGTCCAAGCAACAGTGACCACTCCAAAGATCAGGGGTTTGGACAGATGGATGAGCTGCAGTTGGAGGAGCTTGGGGAAGATGACCTGCAGTTTGAAGATCCTGGAGAAGATCTAGTTCCAACAGATGAAGTGATAGAGTTGAGTGATGACAGTGAGGAGGAGCTGACATTTGGAGAAAATGAACACCGGGAGAGTAAAGCCATGCCCTGCCAGGTGTGTAAGAAAGTGCTAGAGCCCAACATTCAGCTGATCCGGCAGCATGCTCGGGACCATGTGGACCTGCTGACAGGTAACTGCAAGGTCTGTGAGACCCACTTCCAGGACCGAAACTCAAGGGTTACCCACGTCCTGTCTCACATTGGCATTTTTCTCTTTTCCTGTGATATGTGTGAAACCAAATTCTTCACCCAGTGGCAGCTGACCCTTCACCGAAGGGATGGAGTATTTGACAACAACATTATTGTTCATCCCAGTGATCCACTACCTGGGAAGCTTGGTCTTTTTGTGGGGGGAGCTAGCCCAGAGCTAAAATGTGCTGCTTGTGGGAAGGTGCTGGTCAGAGATTTCCACATGGTTCGGGGCCACATTCTAGACCACTTGAACTTGAAGGGCCAAGCCTGTAGTGTTTGTGACCAACGCCACCTCAGTCTCTGCAGCCTCATGTGGCACACTCTTTCCCACCTGGGCATTTCTGTCTTCTCATGCTCTGTCTGTGCCAATAGCTTTGTAGACCGGCACCTCTTAGAGAAGCACATGGCTGTTCACCAGAGCCTGGAAGATACACTCTTCCACTGCCCCTACTGCAGCCAGAGCTTCAAGGCAGAGGCTGCATACCGATACCACGTCAGCCAACACAAGTGCAGTGGAGGAAGCAGCCTCGACTCAAGGTCTGGTTTTGGAGACCGATTACAACATCCGGCTTTTCAGAAGCGGAAATTGCCATCAGATGAGTTCCTGAGTGAGGAGCTGGCCCTGCAGAGCCAATCTGGGAATAGCAAGTATAGCTGCAAAGTGTGTGGCAAGAGGTTTGCCCACACAAGTGAGTTCAACTACCATCGGCGAATACACACAGGAGAAAAACCCTACCAGTGCAAGGTGTGCCATAAGTTCTTCCGTGGCCGTTCGACCATTAAGTGCCACCTGAAGACACACTCAGGTGCTCTCATGTACCGCTGTACAGTCTGTGGCCACTACAGCTCCACCCTCAATCTCATGAGCAAGCACATAACTGTGCATAAGGGCAGCCTTCCACCTGACTTCACCATTGAACAGACATTCATGTACATTATCCATTCCAAAGAGGCGGAGAAGAACCTGGACAGCTGATTGGGCTACATTAGACCTGAGGGCCTGGTCCCAAAAAAGTAGCCAGGATGTTGCTTTTCCAATGGCCTATTGGCCCCTGACTGAAGTTACAATTTGCCTTGCTAGGAATTCCAATTCACGTTGTGTTAAAGGAAGAAAGGAAAGAAATAGCACACAAACTGAGAAATCATTTTTGAAAAGCAATGACCCTACCATGTTTACCTCCACACCTGCTCGTGGCTGAGGCCACGTTTTTGGTTCTTTGGGGAGCTGGGATTATGATCTAGTAACAGAGACAGAAATTGATTTCCACTAGGTCCTTACTCCCCAGACTCTCTAGTTTTAGTTCACTGTTAGGTTTTATGCTGCTAAGAATCCAACCCACAGCCTCAATGAAAAGGGGAGGTGAGAAGAAGTCTTCAAACTGCTTTTTAGTTTCACTGTAGGCATTACCACAGCTCTGTGGCCTCCAGCAGGATTAACCAGTTCCAAAGATGATCCCAGAAATATGATCATTCAGAGAGTCCAACTAGTCAGGGCAGTCCACCTCGAATTCTGAGTTCTAGCCTTTAAGGTGTTGGTGCTAGCCTGCTACACAGACTTACCCGAAGTCCCTTTGAGTGTTAAAGGTAGTTGGACAAGATGAAGAACCTTTGAATTGAAGTGAGGGCTTTGTATTTAGAAAAAGGAGTAAGACAAAAAGTTTAGAGATGGTGAAGCCTAGCCCAGAAGGAGTTATCCTGTAGAGCGATTTGAAACTGGGTGTAGGTGTGGGCAGTAAGGTGGATTTCTTCCCTCCTCATTTCCAAAGAAAAATGGTTTTAGGGCATGCCAGCCAAGGCTTTCAGGACTTCCCCAAGGGGACAGGGATAGTGAACCACCCTAATGTAGACATCTGTCACTCTGGTCCTCTCCATCTATCCACAGGTATGAGAGGATGAACCTTGGGCACCCTGGGGGAGAGGTTGTAATGTTTCTGTCAGCAGTAACCTTGCCTTAATTTTCACCCAGTCTCCTGCCCCCAAAAAAGTCTATGTCTTGGCCCATAGTTCAGATAGGAAAGAAACCCTGTTGTGATGGAGTGGTTGGTCCTGTGAGTCCTTTAGAGTTGATGGGACCAGTTAATAATAGTGGCATTATATTGGTGGGGTGTACGTTTTTACTGTCGATTTTTATCAGGTAACTCTTTTTTGGTTTTGTTTCTTTTTACATGCACTAACAGGCAGGAGGCAAGCAGTGCTTTAGTAGCCCACCTTTTACTTGCTGGAATTCATCCTGAACTGTCCATGTGTCACCCCTAGGGGGTACTGTTGGATGGACCTAACCAGTCCACACACAGGAACTGGCTGATCCTTTTTTTATTTTGTTTATAAAAGGGTCATGCCCAAAGAAGGAGGGAGGGAGAGAGGGATCCCTCTGAACTTGATCTTGCATGTTCACAAGGTAGCACCCTCAACCAGAGTTGCCCTCAGTAACTCATACTACCTCACCCAGAGCAAATGCGCTGGGAGTTCGCAGCCACAGCCCCACACACTGCCACCTGTGTGAACTTGGCAACGCCCAGTGCCATTTCACAAGCAAGTGATTTTAATTAACCCTCAAAGCCTTTTTAAACTTTAATATTTATTATTTTTGTATACAGATCATCCAGCATCTGCTTTGTATGACAGATTTCAGGAAAATGAGATTCCCAGCAGTGAGTGGCCACGTCCCAGGAAATAGTTCTGAACCAGGGATTTTGGTGACAGGGGCGCAGTCCAGTCAAGAACAAGCCAAATGGGCCCTAACCGGGTCTAATCTGTACTGAGAGGTGCCCTCCTCCCACAAACAGGGGAATCATATCTTCTAGGAGTCTGGAATGACCTAATAATGGAAACTTGTGAACTTACTAATTCCTCTTCCCAAATCTGTAGGTAGAGTTACCTGAGAGGTTTCTAAGGAAGACAGGGGACCAGGTTTGGTAGGCCAGTGATTTCTTGGTGGATGGCTTTGAACTCCTTCCTAAAGTAGGAAATTTGTCATTTCCCTGTTAATAAATAGCAAGATGGGCAAGCCAAAGTTCCCTATCTATTGACTTGCTGATTCTTTGCTTCAAGGTGCTGTTGTCTATAAGTGGAGCCCCTTTTCTAGCACAGCAAAGCAGTATCTTACTCAGAAATAGAACAACTCTTTCTCCATAGTGTCTGTTCAGGCAGATGGGATATGGTGGTGAGGGGTCGTGAACAGGAGCCATTGCTGGTCCACTTTCTTCTACTGACCACCAACCTGTTAGAGTCTTACTTGAGAGACTCACTATGAAAGTTGTACTGGCGCCCTTTTCTTATTGACAGGCCCTTCCTTTCCCCCTTCCCCTTCACCATTATAGATATAAAAGGTTAACTTGATGTGAAAGTTAGAGATGATCTGGCATCCACCAAGCTTGCCTACCCTGAGTAAGTTTCTGTCCCTGGTATACCCTACCTCTCACCCCACCCTTACCCCCACTCCCAGCTCCTACCCAAAGTTGGAAAGTAGGTGATTCTTAGATGGCAGGATTTAGAAGAAGCAATACTAACTAAGGCCTAGTCAAAGGGACATGCTAGAGAAATCCCTTTTTTGTATCTAAGAGCTCTTTGGGTGCTGAGTGGTCTGTGAATTTTAACTGAAGCTGTGAAGTTTTTTTTTCTTTTAGTAAACCAAATAAACACATCCCAGAAGCTTTCCCCCTAAAACACTAAGCAAAAGACTGAAGTCCCTTATTCCTGGCCCAAAGCCAGGAGGAACAGCCACCCCCACAGCATTCCTCCCCTACTGAGAGGGTGGTATATGTGTGCTCAGTCCCAGTCAGACATGTAGCAGCGCCAGTAGCTAATGAGGCTTCTTAACCAAATCCTTGTGCTCTGTACTCGCACATATTCATTCTTGGACCTCTTCTTTTATGTTTGGGGCTTTCTGTTTCCTCTGCCTTCCAGCTCACCTTCTGAACTGGTTGTCTTATAACACCATAGTCTTGTAGCAAGTGATACTGTAGTAGAATTTTGTTTTTTAATTTGAAGTCTGGTTTACAGCTTTCAAATTCGTTTGGCTTTTTTAACCAACCCCTTCCCCCCTTCTTGGAATATTCTGCTTTCATGTGCTGTCTAGTCTCTCCTTGACACTGAGTCTCCTCTGTTCTTCCTTATTCCTGTCCTGCCAACTCAGGATCTGGGTTCGGAATTTAAGAAGTCTCCTCAGTTCCCATAGCTGGTTAGGAATAGAGACCTGGTCAAGTCAGGCCCTTTTCTGGGAGAAAGAGGCCCCTGGAGGGTTTGGAAGAGGGTCAGCATTCTTCCTGACTTCCTCTCCTGAAATGTGAATGCATCCTCCTGTTCTTGAGAAAAGGCTTGTGGTATCAGGTACCTACCTTCTCAACAGAATTTTTTTTTTTTTGCTACTGATGAATTTTCCCCCCAGCCATTTTGCCTGGCCTCTGGTTTCCTATTCCATAGGCTGCTCAGCTTTGGAAGTGAAAAATGTTATTTAAAGCTATTTATGTAGATGGACACACTGAATTTTCTAGGTGGGGGCAAGGGGTCTCAAATGACATGGAAACCCCCACACAGCTCTTCTGGCTCTGTCCCTAAATCCCGTACTGAGAGGAGCGCAGATAGGAAATAGCAACTCAGTGTTAGTTTCCATGTGATTACCCATTTTAAAGTCAACATCAGGATGAAAATGAAATTGAGTTTTGATTTTGATGTTTCCTTAAAAATCCTCCTTCCCAATCCATCCTTCCTTGCTCCTATATCTGAAGGTTCTTTCATAAAGCAGAGAAGAGTTGTCATTGACATCTAACCCCTTTCATTAAATTAATTGTAGGTACTGACCTCCTAATATTTAAGTGTTTACTATCTATTGCTGTAAAGTTTTGTATATTTTGTAAACTTTTTTTCCCAAATAGTAGATGTTTAAAATCGTTGTACATCTGATTCTTTTATACTCCATTGTTCAGCACAAAGTGTGGTTTTTATTTAGAATAAAAAAAAAAAAAGGAAATTTGTGGTGTACCTGTGTCCTTCCCTTAATGTTTGAGGCTATTCCCATGCTTCTGAACTTGGATTTTGTGGGCTGGGCACCTCACTACTACAGTCAGACTTCCCCAGATGAAAAGCCAAAGTGCTTTCAAGTCACATGTTTCCTTTTCCAGTCTTTGGGATTTCCTATTCAGGATTGGGATGAACTTATATGAAACAAATATAAATGAAATAAATGAACCAGTTTTGCCCTGGAGGGATTCTTAATTACATCTTTCACCTGACCAGAGGTGGAATTTGTATCTAGAAAGTTAGCTGCATATTAGACTAGATCAAGTATTGACTGGGAGAAAACTAGTACCATTTAATTCTTTATGGGCTCTAGGTTGTATGGGGAAATAGAGATTAAACAGAGAAGAATGTTGAAAGGAGTTTAGGAAGTAATAGAGGTTTGATGGAAAATTCCATGAAGTTATTAAAAATGTATTCCCATGAACAAGGAGACTTACATCTGCTTTCAGTGTTAAAAAGTTCATCTTGGAGGGCTTGGGGTCAGTACTGGAGAAAGATAAAAGGAGTCCTTCTAGTCCCTATTATGCCGTAAAATAGAATGATTTCCCCTAATGAATCATGCTATCTGAATGGCAGCTGGTTGCTACATTATTGGTGCTGTGAGACTAGCAAGGTCTTGGAGGAAGTAGTCTGTGTGATAACTTAAGATGTGACTAGCAATCTAGGACTGGGAGGTGTTTACTGGCATAGCCAGTAGCACCCCAGCTTGGAGAAGTGATGACATTTTCTAAGGGACCAGATCTTGGGTTTTCATATAGAAAAAAAGATTTTTAAAAGTCTTTTCCTGGAAATATGACCAACCCTGAGCATTTGGCCTATAGCTCAAGATCATTTCAGGGGTGGATCTGTCAAGCATTGAGGAGACTTAGTATGAAGTCCTGGCTACAGATTACCAACCATCCTTCCATGGAGATACTAGGTACATTTAATCACATGTTTAATACATCTGGTGAATGGGTTTAGCTTTCTAGGAGTAAAGGATACAAATACAAAGTACAAGGATGGTTATTCTAGGTCACAGGTTCTTAAACTTTTTTGTGGCAACCTGTTGGCAATCTAGTGAAACCTCTGGACCCCTTCTCAGAATAATGTTTTTAAATGCATAAAATAAAATATAGGGTTACAAAGGAAATCAATGATATCGAAATATGTTTATCAAAATATTTTGGAAAACAAGTTCATGGAACAAAGGTTACAAACTTGTTCTGGAAGAGATATTCTGTGCCTACTGCTTGCTTTCATCGGGGGAGTAGGTAGGTAGAAGGAGTGTGTAAGTTCATGATTGCTTATCCCTGGGGAGAATTATGAAGCCAGGGCTTGCCAAAGGCAATGGAGACTTAGTCTTGTAGTTCTTGTTGGCCTAAAACCCTCTCATTAATACCCATTAACTTGCCCTTTCCCCAGGCTAAGTGTGTAGGTAAGTTGTTGATATATCTACACAGAAAAGTAAAATGTACATTTGGCTTCAAAGAAACGCAAAAAGGAGAACATCCTTGAGATGGATGTTAGAACTGGTCTGTAGGTCCCAATACTGAACTTTCCAGCCCTTGCCAGGAACGTGGGGAACGAGGAAGACCAAGCTGAGCTATTTCCAGCAGTCTTGGGAGGAGAAGTGTAATCTTGATCCAGCTTCATGACAATTGTGTTAGACTCCAGATATTTAGGCAGCTTCCTCTAGCTTGTCTCCCCTACCTCTGCTTTACTTATCCTTACACTAAAGATATATACTCTTAGTTCAAAACAGTGGGACCTTGGGGATATCCTGCTTGTGGCCTCCTAGCTCCTTGGCCTCTAGCATCCTGTCCTCAGATCCAGGATAGTTCAGTGAATTCAGTATATACGCAAAAAAAGACAAGTCTGAGGCTACTGCCAGGTTTGTCCTTCTGGTTAGGGTGATTTGTGGTGTTTCCAGCTTCCTTTGTTGAGTCCCTTTCCATCTCCCTGCCCTTCCCTCCCTCCCCCACCACTTTGAAGTGCCAGTTATTCTAGGGTCAGGGGTCCAGATAATTCTGACTTTTGTTCCCTTCTCCCTGCCCATATTACAGATACTTCTGAAGAATTGTGCCTGATTCCGAACCCATAGAGAGAGAAATTGAATTGGGCAAATGGTCATAACAATTCTGTGGACCTGTTCCCAATTTCAGTATATACCAGAATTAACACTCTGTGCTAATCACTGTATGTAAATACCCCATCTCTTGCCTTCAGGTGCATTGTCCTCCCTTGCTTTTTGTTGTTGTTCAGTTGTTTCAGTTGTGTCCAACTCTTTGTGACCCCACTTGATTTTTGCATTCTTTTTAAGTCTGGAAAACTGTCTCTCCTCAGCAGAAAAGTCTGAAACAGGAATCCATCAGAGTTGGGCATATCAGATTGAGGGATGGGGAGAGATGAGGTGTTTAGAATTAAGGAAGGATAATGCACATTTCTGGAAGTGCAGGCTCCGACGTGGTGGGGAGTTGGGAGGAGAGGGTCCTATCTAGTTGGTTTGGGCTCCCTCCTTAGTAATGACAATCGAATGCTTGGTGGTGGAGGAGGAAGAAGAACCCCTGCCTTTCCTGGTCTGGTCCTTGGGGATATAATGGACCACAGCACCCATCAATCGGTTACGAAAGCTGGGACTAAGAAAGTTGTAGAGGATAGGGTTAGCCACACAGTGCAACATCGATAAACAGTCAATGACATCATAGAAGAAGTAGAGGACATAGACCATGGAGCAGTGGAGGAAGATATGGTTCCCATGTAGTGTGAGCAGCAGCAGTGTTACATGGTAGGGCACCCAGCAGACCACAAAAACAGCCACATAGGCACAAACCAATAGTCCGTGGCGCCGAGCCTCTGGCCGTCCCACCTGATGTAGCTGGTAAACAGTCAGCGCATTAAAGACTACCATCAGTGGAAAGGGTAATAAGAAACCCAGGACTATGGTAGAGAGGGTCACAGCCAGCGCCCATGTGCTATATGTTTCAAATGGTGCCAAGAACAGGCACATCGGATCTGTGGCATCTATCAGATGGATGTGAGCTACCTCTGGCAGTGGGATGAGGGCAGAAAGGACCCAAACACCTGCACATACTCCTTTCCGCACGCGGTGCTGATGTTGCTGCCAGAAAGGGGAGGAGTAGGTGAGTGTGACATACCGGTCTATGCTGAGGCAGGTTAGGAAAAAGATACTGCTATACATGTTGGCAAAATAAAAGTAGTGTGTGAAGCGGCAGAAGAAGCTACCCCACAACCATGTGTAGTCCAGAGTGACTTCCAGCATCCACACAGGCAGAGACAGGATGATACCCAAGTCAGCCACGGCCATGTTGAAGACATAGAGATTGAGCAGTTTCCCTTGGCCCAGGCTTCTCCAGTTGATGTAGATAACTAGCAGGTTCTCCACTAGCCCAACCACAAAGATGGCCAGGTAGAGTACAAAGAGGACCACACGCTTGGCATTTTCGTTGAGGTTGACTTCACACTCAGAAAAGGTATGGTTGAAGAAATGTATCAGTTCTGTCCAGTTATGGATGTCATCCCAGTCACTGAAGAGCATTGAGGAGGGGGTCTCAGAAGGGCTAGGCCCCATCAAGGAATTAGGACTGGTTGACATGGGGGTAGCAGGTACCTGTAAGAAGTGTGATGGAGAGAGAAGGGAGAAGACCTTGAGGATAAAATCCTGCAGAAGATAAAAGGAGTTGGGATGTAGAAGATTGTTGTTGGTAGGATTTCAGAGTCTGAGAGAGGACAAGGGCAGGAGGAACCAGAAGCAAAGAAGAATCAGAGACTATATAGGCTATTACTTTAAGTGCATAACAATCATTGTGTTTTGACTTTGACCCAAAAGCCAAGATGCTTTAATTAGCTGCCTGTAGTGCTAGGAGTTCCTAAGGATTATATGTGTCCCAAAAAATTTCTTACTGTAAGCCAGTGTACTCTTCCCATACCCCTCCCCTTTTAACACCCCTTTCCCCTTCCTGGGTTCCTACTATCAATTTGAAGTGTCCCTTAAACACTGCTGGCCTCTCAAACCTCTGATTTGCAGGTATGGAAATATACATAGCACCCCATCTCTAATCCATCCCAGAACAAACATGAATCATTACATGAAAGCAGGACTGTTAAAAAGCCTAGAAAAGGGGTTCTTAACCTTTTTGTGTGTCATCTACCCATTTGGTAGTCTGGTGAAGCCTATCAGCCCTTTCTCAGAATATTGTATTGTTTTTTAAAGATCATAATCAAAGGAAAAGTTAAATTTCAGCTACAGCTTAACAAAAATAAAAGGCTAATTTTTTTCCTATCAAAGTTCATAGACTTCTTGAAATCTCTCTGTGGACCCCAGGTTAAAAAAAAAAACTGGCCCAGTAGAATCCCAGAATATTAGAGTCTAAAGATCATCTGCTTTAACTCCCTCATTTTACAGATAAAACCACTGAGGCCCAGAGCAGAGAAATGACTTGCCAAAAGTGAGCCAAAATCTGGTTATCCCACCCCCACCCCCCAGTTCAGGGCTCTTTTCACTTTCTTCCTCCTTCAGAAAAAGGGCTTCATTTTGGGGAACACTTACCTAAAACTCAGCTTGTTTATCTGGGGCTGCAAGGGTGTGTCCTGTTCTGAAAGTCCGAGAAGAGCCAGAGAGGTTATGGCAATGGGGGTGTGGGCTTAGCAGCTCTGCTTCTCTTCTCAGGGCCGCCCTCCTTACTCAGGAAACAGACTTCACTGGCTGACATTCTGTGGGAGGGGGCCAGGGGCTTTCCTGCATTCATCCTTTCAACAGGAGGGGGAAGAGATGGACAAAAGATGGCAAAAAAAATCAGGCCCTTCTGTTGCTTCCTTCCCTCCCCTAACCCTTCCTCACAAGCTTGCTTGGGACCCCTTTCTTCACTGCCTGATAACATGGAGCTGAAAGAAATCAAATTGTGGGAAAGTCAGTTTTTAATGTTTCTGTCCCTCCCCTTCACACTAGCCCTATAGAGTCTCCCAAAACTGTGAGAATGGGGATCACTGCTTTTCTCTCCCTCTCTACTAAAGCATAGACTTTGCCTTCTGATTTGAGAAGGGGGAAAGGGCCACAGCTGCAGCAGGAAACAGGGCAAGAAGGGCTTTAGACCTAAGGGTGGCCACAGGATGTCTTTTTTCCCTGGAGATCTCTTAGCATTGTGATATGGAGGAAGGGTATTTGATAGGATGGCCCAGATATCTATGATTTGCTTTTTCAGCACTTTTCTTTAGTCTGTCTGCATATCAGGAGTGGACTGAGGGCTTTAACTTACGTTAGAATCATAGGAGTTAGAGCTGGGAGGAAACTTATTTGCCATAGGCCTGGAAAAGACCAAATGCCCCTCACAATTTTGAAAAAGAGAAGAGGATGGAGTCTGTAAACTATTGTCTAGTGAGCTTTCCTTTTGATCCTTGGCCTAATCCAATTCAACAGACATCAAGTGTTCATTTTATGTGTCACATATAAAAATCACTTGAAAAGTACAATAAAAGTAACTTTGATGATATTGTGGTTATAAGTATCAAGCAAGGCATATAATAAAAAGATGTATTTAGCTTGCCAAAGAGGTTTGCCACTACAATAACTGATTGCAACAAGCCCCTAAATATTGCCAAGTGATATAAATTCATAATTACTCAGAGTTTGGCCTAAATATCTCACTGGAAGAACCAAGTGGTTGAAGAATGCCTATTGAATGCAGTTGTATTGGCAGAATATAGAGCTGGTCTTGGATATATACTGCATATGAAAAATTAACTGAATTTCATAAGAACAGAAGATGTATTGTATTAAGGAAACTATGAAGTACTTTATTGATCCCCAACCTTCTCCCGTTTAACTGGGAGGGGAAAAAAGAGACACAACAAAGGCAAAGTAGACACTCTGAGAAAAGGCAGATGTGGGGAGCATAGCACCTTGGGACACAGAAAATGTCAGCTACAGGGACCCTGACTCTGGGAGCCCAGCAGAAAGCTGCACCTGTACCTGAGTAGAATATCATAAGGACCCTATGAAGGAAGAAGAGGACTGCAGTAACTAAGCTGTGATCTCTCTTTGCCACATGCGTACCTCACTACATTTCTACTTCAGATTTGAGTCCCCTCTTCCCAGTGACTTGTGTGTTCAGAAAGAAAATGTACTCTGATTTGGGAGGGATATTTGTATCACCTTTGTTTCTAGACCTGCATAGTAAATACCTTTTATAATAACTAGTTGATACTACTGACTGATAATCAATGGGTAGTTCACTAGTGGGAGCTCCTGAATGACAGTACTAGAAACCCCAGCCCTTCAAGGTTGCCATAAAGCCCTTAAGGGGAAGTAAGTAGCAACTGCCCCTTTGGGGACTCCATCCTCCGAAAGTGAGTGAGGATTAAGTGAGTAGCCCCAGATGGGGTATTACATAGAAGATAAAGGTCCTGGGAGGAGATGAGGAGGAAGTGCATGGGGCAACAGCTTGTTAAAAATCCACAAAGATCATATACCCAGATCAAGGAATAGCTAGGAGTACAATTTGACTGGAATGTAGCATTCATGAAGGAAAATAATATGAAATGAGTCTAAGAAGGTAGTTTGGAGCCAGATGGTGAAGGGATGGGGGATATATGTTAAGCTGAGAAGTTTGTATTTTTTTTTTACCTAGAGGCAGTGGGTAGCCACCAAAACTGGCTAACAAAGCTTTTGACAAAGATCTCTGATATTTTTATTGTGGATAAGGTGGAGAGATATAGGCCAGATTGTAATATAGTTAAGTAGATTTAGAACTGGTTGAATGATTGGACCTAAAGATTAGTTATTAATTGGTCAATGTCATTTTGTGGGGAAAGTTCTAGTGGAGAGCCCTTTGATCCTATGCTATTTTGAAATAATCTATTTGAATCTTTTAAAAAAAAAGTTACAGATATCTTTGTTTTTTAACATCAGCTCTATTCCCTAATATATTTCTCCCTTCTTCCCCTTTGAAGAGAACCATTCCTTATTACAAGGAAGGAAAAAATAGTTCCGTCAAACTACACAACACATCAACCAATTTTGACATTATATGCAAGCATTCCATACTTAGCGTAGGCCAGGCCTGACCCAGGCTGGGCTGGCATTTAAGGCTCAGTGTTGGAAAGATGGCCCTTTATAGAACACCCGACACTTAACAAAAAGAAGTTTACTTAACAATAACCTAAAAAGATGCTCAAGGATACAACACTGGTTCCGTTACTGGGGTTAAATGTAAAGTCCTATTGGATTTAAGAAATCAATTTTGCAAACATAGAATGGAGAAGTGATGGCTAGGCAAAAGTTTATGTGAAAGAGATCTAGGGGGTTTTAATGGATGGCAAACTCAATATGAGTTGACTGTATGACATGGGAGCAAGAAAAGCTGCATTGAACTTATTAGCTGTGTGATCCTGGGCAAGTCACTTAACCCCAATCACCTCACCAAAAAAAAAAAAAGCTTCATTAAGAGGCAAAGTACCCAGAATAAAGGAGTGATGCTGATGTGTTGTACTGCCCTAATCAAATTTCATCTGCAGGATTGTTCAGTGGTCTGGGTGCTGCATTTTAGGATAGACTTTGATAATCTGGGGCATTTCTGGAGAAGGCTGACCAGAACTGGCAGGTGACTGGAAACCAGCCCATATGAAGATGGGCTTCAGGAACTGGGGATGTTTTACCTGGAGGAAGAGAAAGCAAACAGGTGTTCCCAAGTATTTGAGAACTGTTATCATCTGAAAGAGTCATTAGACTTGCTCCAGATATGCCTAAAGGGCAGCCAGTAAGCATTTGCTATGTGCCAGGCACAGTGCTAACCACCAAGGAAAGAAAACCAGTCCCTGTCCTCAAGGAGCTCATATTCTAATGTAGGAAGCAAGATGCAGTAATCTCAAAGGGAAGATGCTGGCATTAAGGGAGACTGGGAAAGAAAGGCTTCTTGCAGAATTAGCTCAGAATTGAAGGAAGCCAGTGTATGAGAGGAGGGAGAGATATCCAGGCAGGAAGGACTGCAATGAAAAGCACGGTGTCATGAGTATGTGCAAAGGAGTGAGGTGTAAGAGGGCTGGAAAGGTAGGAAGGGGCCAGGTTTTAAATGCCAAACAGAGGATTTTACATTTGATCCTGGACGTAATAAGGAGCCACTGGAGTATATTGAATAAGGGGTGGAGGTGGGAGGGAGGAAGGATGTCACATGGCCAGACTTATACTTTAGGAAGATTGACAGCTTAGTGAAGGGTAGAACAATGTTTCATATAAATAGATGTAGGCTTAACGTAAAGAACACCTTTCCATTAGTGAGAGCTGTCCAAAAGTGGAATGGGCCACCTTGGTGGTAGTGAGTGACTTAAAGCAAAGGCTGCCTAGGATCATAAGTCTAAAGCTGGCAGGGACCAGGTGCTCAGGACGTTGTAACTCACCCAAGGGTGTGTCAGCAGAGGCAGGATTTGAACCTGGCTATCTAATTCCAGAGCCTAGATATAGAAGGAATGCCTGCTCAGACTAGATGGTAGGTGAAGCCCATTCTAATTCTGAGATTCTCTAGTCTAACCCCACCCCTCACCACCACCACTTTAACAATGAGAAATCTTTGGCCCAGTAACAGGAAGCGGCTTGCTGAATGTCACATAGCTAGGAATGGCATAGCCAGGATTCAAACTTGTTTCCTTTCCCTCCACACCATTCCAGGCTCCCTCAGTCATTTTTTTGTGTAACGGGACTGGCCAATGGGGACCAAGTCCCTCCGGCATGTGCAGTGTGCTCTCATGCCAACCAAAGTGGGGGCATAGTGCGCTTATGGAAGTGTGTGATGTCGTGTAATGGAGGGGCCCTGTTCCTAGTTCAGACTTTCCTGTCTGCTCACTGTGTGGTGAGGATTAGCTGCTGAGCCACAACGTCCAGTAAGAAGTTTGCCTCTTCTTTTTCTCCCAGCTGACCAAGGGATGACTCTCTGTGCTCTGGGTGGTTAGTAGAGGTGGGGAGAGGGAAAGTCAGCCCACCCCAGGCAGGGCCAGTGTGTGAGCTCATGATGTCTTGAGAGGCAAGCCTGTGTCTAGAATGGGGTCACTTTATGGTGATGTCTTCTTTCCTTGTGAGATCCCGAAAGGAAAGAGCCACCAGAGGTCCAGTGGTTAAGCCCAAGAAGAAGCCAACCCTGAGGTCAAGTCAGCTTGACCCTCCCCACCAGTGGACTAACCTGGACTTTCAGGATCTAGGCAGCTCTGTGACCCAGTGGATAGAGTGCTAGACTTGTAGTCAAGAAGACCTAGGTTCAAATCCCACCCCAGATACTTACTCGCTGTGTGGCCCAAGGCAGATCACTTAATTTCTGTGAGTTTTAATTTCCTCATCTAAAACTGAAAATTAAAATGAGGATAATAATAGCACATACCTCACAGGGTTGAGATAGTGTGTGAAGTGTTTTGCAAACCATAAAATTACAGAAATGCTAGCTGTTATTATTTCAGAAACAGGCTCACCAAGTTCCTCACATGTGTTGACAGCAGGCAGAGCATACCACGTATGCTGGAAAGCCTGGGCCCTCATTGTCCAGTCCTCCATTCCGCCTGTACTGTGGAACACAGAATACAAACTGCTGGATGTGGAATGCACCTTAGAGACCAGTCAATCTAACTCTCTTATTTCTTTTTTCTTTTCTTCTTTCTTTCTTTCTTTCTTTCTTTCTTTCTTTCTTTCTTTCTTTCTTTCTTTCTTTCTTTCTTTCTTTCTTTCTTTCTTTCTTTCTTTCTTTCTTTCTTTCTTTCTTCCTTCCTTCCTTCCTTCCTTCCTTCCTTCCTTCCTTCCTTTCTTTCTTTCTTTCTTTCTTTCTTTCTTTCTTTCTTTCTTTCCTAGGCAATTGGGGTTAAGTGACTTGCCCAGAATTCAGGTCCTCCTG